CCAGTTGCAAAGCTAGTTATTGCAGGAGACAGAGCAACTTCTGCAAGAACAACTTCCACATTCCCAATTATTTCTGCTTTTATATAAAGGAGACATTTACCTCCCTACTATTCCCCGACCACTGCAGTAACATACAAAGAAGAGAAAACATGAGGAAGAAGAGAGTACCACAGCTGCTGGAGTCTACTTCTTTCCCTGACAGTGCCCACTACCTCTACCTCATTTTGTGATCTGGAAAGGATCCTGGTCCCCTCCAACTCTCCAGTCCCTTCCAACTCTCCAGCAATGGAAACTAAGACAGAATTTCTTGTCATTGCCAAAGGAACATCTTGATATTATTCCACAAAGATATTATTACAAAGGATGAACCACAGGCTAGAAAGGTTAGCAGATCTATAGTAGAGTGCAAAAATAACATAGAAGAGAGATGCTTCAGAAGGCAAGAGTACTTCAACTTCAAAGGTCACAAATTCCATCTGTTCAAGAGGAAAATGCAAATACCAATCAGACTTCAACAGTGTATCACTATCAAAATGTTATTGCAACTTCACAACTCAGTACTGTATGTCTGGTAAGAGAAGGTACAGCTTACCATGAACAATAGGGCACTTGTACTCCCAACTCAATACCAAGAATGGTGCCAGTGTAGCTGCCAAAAAAAAATAAAAAACAACAACCAAAAAAACAACCCACCAAAAACCAGATGGGAACCCCGAACAGATGGGATCTCTTTAATCCTCTTTCTAATCGTCCTTGACTCACTCCTAGGTAGATTGACATCTGTTGTCTTGACTCTGTTGACTGCTGAAAATCTCTCATCTTCCCACATTCCCAACTGCGAGAAGCAGCACTGACAAGCACACTGGTGATTCATGTGAAACACACTCTTACATTCCTCTACTCCTTTTAAATGTAAACTTTAACACCCCTCTCAAGCTTCGTGGTTGCAGCATCCAGTACTTGCCAGTTCAGAAGCACCACTGGGAAGGAAGCCTGTCTTGCTTTAAATTGGCCAAGCTCTCAGATGATTTTTTTTATTTTTAAAAAACAACACCTGTAAACTGCCTAAGAGACAGCAGTGATGACATTCATGGGTATCAGAAAAATTCTTTGCTGCTTCAGTAGTACCAAGAATATCAGAACATTATTTTTCAGATTCAGAGGTAATTCACAGGGTAATTAAGCAACAGGGCCACTTTTAGTGGCAGAGAAGTGTATCCTAAGTGATTCATAACAAAATGCAGAAGGATTTTAGAGTGGTTAAACTGCATGAAAACCTCGGACAGAGAAATGCAAATGCTTATTCTATGAACAAGATACAGATCTAGAAAAATCTGAAACAAGTATAAACAGGGAGAAAAATGTAAAAGGAAAATAAGCCCCAATAGAAATGTAACATGATACTATTTAAAGAGCAAGCAATAATGCAGAAATATTAGTGTAATTAAATTACTGTTTTAAACTACTGAAAATATACAATATATGGTATATATTCTGTTATCATTAACATGCTGAATGTTGTTCATGTTACTGGAAATCTTTATGCTCATCTTTTTACAATTAGCTCAGAAGAAGCATTAAGAAGAAGAAAAATTAACTTAGAAGAAAAGTATTTCCCTACAATGTAAGAAGCAGGATGGAAGTTATGGTGACATGAATGTACAGTTCCAGAGAGAAGCCACACAGGGCAGAAAACCAGAAGTCCTTATCTTACTGTCAGACATGCTCTCAAAGGATTACCATATATGAAGACTATATGTAGCAGTGCCACCTGGTGACCGATGCTATGACAAAGCCGCCTTAAAATACTGTAACAGCATAGATCTTTATTGTATGAAGTAAATAGAATTTTCCTTCTTTTTTAATATGTATATTAAAGCTTACAGTTCCAAAACTCAGTACGTGAAGTACAAAACTGACACTGAAATTTCCAATTTATAAAGATAACAATCTGTAATGTAAACACTAACATATGGCACCAACACACATTGAACAGAAATGGTTCTCAAGTTAGGGCAGCTAGACTGTAATTAGCCACAGAAGGATTAGCCAAATGCAGTACAGGGAAGAGAAAACCCAGAAACACTAAAACTAGCCTTCACAGAGAAGATCAGCAATCTCAACGTCCTTGCTTTCTCAATGACACAAAGTCATAAATATCAATAATTAAGAGATGTCCAGTTCAAAAGGCAGGTCATTTCTCCACCTTCCATTAGAAAAGCCTTGGAAACAAGTCAGGAAGTCTTTTAAAGCATCCAGGACTGAGCATGATGAGCGTGAGCATCATCCCTCTAACATGGATACTTCCTCATGCGCTCAAGCAACTCAAGCACCAAGAGTGGAGGTGGAGGAGTATGCATGGACACTGCTGTACAATAAAAGCAGAAGGAAACATTTGGTCAAAATTGCACAGTGACAAGCAAATCCAGTTGTTTATGAGGTGACCAAGCCTCAGGAAGGGAGGACTGTAGCAGCATACCACAGCAGCTCAACCCAGGTCGAGGCACTCATTATGTCATGTCCTGGCTTGCACAGATCCAACTTCCTAGCCGAGTGAGTGCCCATAAGATAGCAGCCCAACCAACAGGGATATAATATTTTACTAAAAATCTGTCTGGGAAATGATTGACCACAGGCTAATGGATAGGATAGAGGCTGCTGAATTTTAAGTCCCTTCCCCTATGCAAAGGGTCTTCAGAGATGGGGCATTTTTTGCTGCAGGTAGATTAAATGACTAGGGCACTTCTGCGTATTATTCCAGTACCAGCAAGGGCTAAACAGCCTTCGCAGCAGAGTAGAAATTACCCTCTCTTTATACCCAGAGTTAGGAGGGTAATAAAACATTCAAATAAGACAGGGCAAACAGGAAGCAACAACATTCTTCATCTCCCCCAATTTATCATCTAACTTTGTTTTTAATTGTCCAAGCTAATGTATTTTCAGGTGTTCAGAGTGCAAAGGTTTGAAACCAGGAAGGTAGAAAATAAAGGGGGATGGGCTCACAGTGAAGAAGGTTACATACCTTTAAAACTTGGTTAAAGAAAGGCAGTACAATTTTGTGGAAGCAGGAAGAGGGACAAGCTTTTACTTTGACCGCAACTAGACCAAAGTGTGCAGAAGCTAAATATATAAAGCACTAGTGCACAGGCATGACTACAACCATTTGGGCAGTCTTCTGGTGAGCCTCTCCATTTTTCTACAAAATAGCTTTCTGGAAGTGAGCTGGTGTTTTGAAATTAATGCAAAAAAAAAAAAAAAGTGATGACAACAGTCATTGCCAGGAGATCACTTCATTATTCCCTCCTTTGGGTTTGTTTACAGTGTAAGACCCTTTCCCCCCCATCTTCCTTCCTCTTGTTCTGTTCCAGGCAAATGTTGGGAAGAAAAATTGTTTACTTGTTTCCTAAATAGAGTTAATGAAAGAAAACCACTTGAATGCAATTTCCTGCAAAATTTCACTAGTCTCATATGTCCTCTGTCTTTTCCTAGTTCAATACAACATTTTGTCTAGCTGTAATTGATACAAATATTCCTTGCAGCCTGCAAGTCTCAGCTCCTTAGAACTCCAACACAGAGAGAAATGGCATATGTCTGAACTTCATCCTAATTTAATAAGCAAAGAAATTTTGTCAGTCTAGGCCTGAACTTTACCCATTATATTATTTATGAGACAGACTTTCATGCAGTAGGCTTAAAACAAAATACAGACCATTTTTATCTTATGTTTTTACCTATATGTTTATTGACTGTGGACTTACAAAAATATTCATGTTACAAAATTTCTTATCAGTCAACAAGTAGAAGTAGGAACACACAAGGACTCCTGATTCTCTTTGAAAGATCTGGTTTCTGCACATACAGACAAATAATTAACAGCTTGTTTGAACATGTTAATATTACTACCCCGCATACTGTTAGGTTTTTAGTTGGTTTTGTTTCGTTTGTTTTCTTCAATAAAGTACTTAATTCTTCCATTACTCAGTATAGGAATTACTGCTGACAGCAATCAGGACAAATCTCAGAAGTTTGATTACATAGCCAACTTTTAATCACATCTTCTAGATGTCCATAAACATCCCTGAAAATTCTCAAACAGTAAACTGGTATAGCATACGTGTTCAGGCATCTTCCAGGCAGGGACGTTTCAAAAATATTAATATTTCCAGAATATATGACTCAACAAAGTGTAAGTTAGACTTTTCAAAGGCTGCTTTCTCCTCTTATTGATGGACTCAGCAAAAATGGTAACTGAAAGCTTCCTCACTACCTTCCAGCATCTACTAAATTGTTTCTAGAAGTTAAGACATGAGTAATTAAATCTTCTTTTCCATCTAGTTCCAGTAAAGGCACAAATATTTTCAGCTATATGAAGAACTTAAGTGCATTAGAACAAATGGGAAGTATTTGTAAGGCTCCAGCTTTACTAAAAAAGTATGCCTTTTCTGGAACTCTTGTACTGATGTAAACCAATTAAGTCACTAGGCCAAAGCATGACAATGTTTTCCAGTACACTTGGCAGCCTTACACTCCAACTTTGGCAAATTAAAAAAAAAAAAAAATTAATCTGCTCCCATCACTTTTCCACAGACACAGAGGATTGTTTACGCTATGTTCAGCCCGAGCCCCTGCATACAGACAAAGGAAAAGGCAAACAAAAAGTCTATTCCTGAGACCATTTTGTGACATTCCACTGAGGCCCCCAGAAAAGAGCAACCTGCCTTCTCCAGTCACAACGCAAACACCTCAGGCTTCAGCAGCACAAAGGAATTATCATCCAGATCAACAGCCACAGCACAAAACTTTTACTATCTTTTGTTAAAGCCAACACCGTTTCACTTATTTGGGCATTTGAGCTCCAAGTACTGTTTTTAGGCACCATGCATAATGTCCAAAGAGCAGGGGTGTATCTGTCTATTAAAAGGATTGCAGTATGCAGCATGCGCAATGTGCTGCAGTTATTTTCATTACACAAACAGGCAGGCATAACCAGTATCAATGTGAGTTAGAAAGGTAGGTGTTCTCACTTGAGAATCTGGCCCAGCAAAACTGGTTCTTGGTCTCTTACCATTCTGAACTTGCAGCATAAACTTCAGTCTGCTTATCAGTAGGAATTGTCTCTCTTCAGTTTTACTAGCTCTACTACACCACCACCACATCTTGAAATGTAACAGTACTGTCCCACTACATTTACAGTTTGTGTTTTGTTTATGGAAAACAACAAAAAAAAGAAATCATGCAAGCACACTGGATTTATCACTATCCCTTTGGAAATGACCCCATTCTTCAGAATCAAAGTAAAAATTTTGCTGGTTTGGACATTCTCTGAGAGCGAGTGTGCACAACAAAGTCCAGTGGACTCCTGCCACACAATACAAACAGCAAAGAAATCTTGCCGACTTCTAGTGTGGTCCTTTCTCTGATGTGCTTGGCTAACATTCCAGACTGAATTTTCAAGTTTTGTCTTGACTTTTCTAGTTCAGAGCTTGGAGCAAGGCAACTACATCAATATTCTAATTTAATTAGAAAGCAGACTGCCGATCAAAACATCAAGCAGAGTGTCACAGATTGGAGTTAGATTAAATGTAAAGGCAAAAATATATTAAAACTCTCCTGAATTAAATTCACCTTTTTGCTTTTATTTAAAATTAGCCTCTGGGCTTCATTTCAGAGAATAAATTTGGGTCTCCAGAAAAGCTTAATACATTAACTCAGTTTTTATAAGACCAGGTGGTGGGAAATAAGTATTTGCAGTAAACAAGCTGTTAGGACACGTACATTCTTCAGTTAAAGACGACTGGAAGCCAGGTCTGCAAATATCTGCAACTAACTACTTGTCATTGCTGTTCTTCAAGAATAACTGTATGCTTGTTATATGTAACTTCATATACTCCTTATATTAATATAGTTGAGTCCAAATGCATCTCAGTTTTACAGACAAAAGTGTTAACACAGGATTTACACTTCTCTCAGTATCTTCTCAGTCAACGTTTTTAGGTGTCTTTCTCCACTCCAGAGTTAAATGTGTAGTTTCTTACTCTTGGATATTATGAAGTCTACAGTGATACTTCTCCTTACACATCCTTATCTTTTGTCTATCAGGATGAACAAAGCTAAACATATTTTCACAAACACTGCAGAGTTAGCTTCAAGTATTCAAAAGCAAAGACATCTTCACAACAATGCAAGAATGATGCTGACAAATACCTGTCAAAAAGACAAGGATACATACCTTGCCAAACAATGGCACTTTATTCCCTGTGCAGAACAGAAAGTTTACTTATCTATTTCTGTCCGAAATTCAGTGTAAATAAAGAATTCTCTTCAAACTGTTTCAAGAACAGCTGCCATTTCCTTGAACTGTCTGAAGAAGTTCTAAAAAGCAAGAGTCAACATAAATTTCAGTTGCATGAAGCAAAGCTCAAACTGTAGTTCAAACTAGCATGTTAGACAAAAAAACCAAAACAAAACAAAATCACAATTCACGTTTCTCACACTTCCTCTTTCTTCCAGTTACAATGTGCAGCTTGAATTGAAAGTTTCTGCTTTTCTTTTTATGGGATGGTTGGTATTTGGGCACCTTCACTATTAAATCTACATGCATCATGCCTTATTTACATGGGTTTGACTATTAATAGGAGAACGTGCTATGAAAGAAAAATACAAAGTAGCTCTCACAGCACAAGCAAAAAAAACCCTCAAAAGACCTTCTCACACAGATGTTTCTATTGCCATCTAAAATAATCCAGGCTTCTCAAGCATAGCATCCATTTCTTGTAGCAGTTGAAGAGCATATTACTGAAAAGTTTTCCACGAGAATGAATACATTTTACAACGTCAAAGGATTCAGAATATCCTTCTCAAATTCTTGCCAATCCAATTCCAAGGTTTTATTTGTAAGCATGTACAATACTTTAAGTGATGTATTTGCCCTTTAAACAGGAATGACAACAGAAGTGCCATATTTATGCAGAAGTAAACAAAGTTACATAACTTCATAGATGAAGACATAGCAGTTAAAGGCCAGTGGTGACAAAGCAGAATGACCTCCATTCCTAATCATTAGCAAATGTTAGGCTTAACCCAAGTTTTAGACTTTGAGGCTGGGGAACAGTTCCACAGATTTAGAATATTCCATCTATTTTTAATAAGGCAGAGTGACAGCTGACAAGGAAGACCCAAAAGCCTTTATGTCTTCAGTTATTAGCTTATTTCTAAGAGAACAGATTAATTACTGCTAAATTAACTTTTTCAGATAGTGATGTAGAACTAAATGCTATAAGTATTTAGCTTCAGTGTTTTAAATAATTCATGCTTCATCTCTTAATGACTATTCGTAAATAAGCAACATGAACGTATGCATCAAGATATGCAGTTGTTTTTAAGAGACTGAATCAAGTAACACTGATTACAGACCTTGAACTGCGGGATGGTCATTTCAAAAGACTTGTCTGTTATTTGTCCTGAAGGTTCTGCCACTTTTAGCGTCACTGTAACATAAGGATACTTCAGAGACCTGCAGGCATCAGAGCTCATTGCAACTCCCAGTTTCCATTTAATATCCACAAACTATGAAGAAGAAAATAATTGGAAACAGTGTTAAAGATAGAGATCTAGCCTACCATTGCTATTCTGTTGGATAGATGATTCACAGATTAAAAAGGACATCTAGAGCTCACATCCAAACGGGAAACACACACATTCAGATATTACTGTCAATTAAAAAAAAACCAAACAACTGTCCTTCCTTTTAATAATGGAAAAATAAACAATTTAAGAAGTTATTTCACTTGATCTGTTTTCCTTTTTCGAGTACTGTCAACAGTCAAGTACAGTCTATTTAAAAAGTTCTGTTAAGAGGAGCTCAAGCCACAGAGTTCACTTGGTATCATTTGTGCTTTTGTAATTTTTTTTAGAAGTTTCTAAATCAAGTGGAAATATGAGGAAAACCTCAGACAGTGGCACAAAAATTTTATAATAGCAATCATGGAAAAAATTCAGGCATTAAATAACTGTGTCTTAGATAAATCAAAGTATAGCATAAATACATCAGGTAGGTAAGTTATTGTTTTTAGCCTTTTACGATAAGCAGAACTGTTGAAAGAAATTGAGAGCCTTTATAAGCTTACTATCAAGCTTCAAAGATTTTTTTCCTAATTCCATACTCTTTTAAAATGTTGTTAGAAGAAAAAAAAAATCTTAAAATGCAAATACAGTCTATGTTATTTTTTCAAAAAGGAAAAAAGGAATGATGGAAATTGACAGTAAGTTTAAATTTTCTTTAAATCTCAGGGAGACAAAGAATAAAACAATCAAGTGCTGGTGTTATCAACTCTAAAGAAAATTCAAATTACATTGAAAACAGATTTACATAAACTGCTAATACAGTTGTCTGCCACTCACCTTCCCTAACACTAATAGGCAGCACTAATTTTAAAATGTATGAAGTGTGAGTTTATCATACAAACAATATTGGAAAACCATTCAGCATTTAGACAACCTTTACCATATGTGATTCTTTATCTGGGTAGACATTTGGCAACATATATATAGGAAAGCTTTCGGCCATCAAAATACCACCATGTGCTTGACAACACAACACACACAAAGCAGTAGTGACATTTCTGAAAAGTTAATAGCTCAGCTGCACTCTCTCATTTAGTTACCTGCCCCACCATGGCCATATTTCTTGCATCTTCTGACACACTAATGGATTTGCCCTGCTCGTTCCATACATGACGAACAACTTGAACTGCATGTTTTGGCAATGTGCTGACAGCACTGCCCAAGGTGGTGATGAGTTCCTCTGTAGAAAGATTGTTTCTGGCTGCTGTGCTGTAGGTGTATCCGAAGAACAATGAATCAATATAATTCTCCAAGAATTTCATAAAATTCCTCACTTCACCCCAAACAGGCAATTTTTTAATTTCTGCTTTATGTGTCTATGTACTTCTCATTAGGCAGCCTGTGGGACTTTTTTTTCCAAACTATTTTACTAATCTTTTGTATCCACATACAAAACCCAATGTAACTTGACTTTTAATGGGGCTTAATATACCAAAAGACCAAACTTTGCTAGGCTTGCACAACGTACAATGTTAAGACAAAAATAGTCACAGCCTCTAAGTGCTACTGCAACTGGAAAAAAGGCATAATTCAGTGAAAAGATGTGTGCATAGAGCAGTTAAACAATATTATTACTTCAGAAACAAGACAATTTAATTAAATTTTTAGGATAGGTAATTTAAATATCACCAAAATGCAAGTAACGACCTCAAGGTAACGGTATAATTGGTACTAACAGGAGTCAAATGATGCAATAAACACTCAACTGAAAAAGCAGCAAATCTAGAGGGTAACTGCCACTCGATTTCCTCTACAGGTTAAAAAAATATTTCCCACCCTAAGTTTGTTCATGCAGATTTTTTTAAAGAGACAGTAATAAAAAAATAGTTGGTCGTCCAAGTTGCATGGTCTAATATAATTTAAGGCTTTTTACTTTCTAGAGGAAAAAGTAGTATGTTAGATTTCTGTTGGTACATTTTCTTCAGTCATACTCATGTTACATAAGATGTTTAGATACTAGTTATTAAATGAACAAGCAACATCTTGAAAGTTTTATCTTTCTGAAAATAGAAAAAATTACAGCAAAACAACAGCTGAAAATACTACCTAAAAACTCTACCTTCATCATGGCAGAGTTCAACATTATAAAACTGTGTGCCCTTCAAATAGGCACAAATGTTGGTTTCTAATCTCTAAGAAACAAAATTATTTCAGAACATGCTTCTTCCAGGCTTTAGAACCGGGCTTAACTTCCTTTTATTTTGCCAGTAGTTCTAAAGCATCCAGACAGGACCTTAGAAAAACTTCCATTTTTATTTTTACTGCATAAAGTAAGAATGTACATTAAGTAACCACACGTTTTTTAGTAACACTAAGCCCAGAAGTTCTTTTTTGTGTACTGAGAATTATAAACTTTTGCCTTTTCTTAAATCAGTTCATTTTATACCAACATTTGATGTCACCTTTTAATACCGCTATTAATTTGGGGTGGAGCGAAAAAAGACATAAGGCAAAGTAAATTATTTTGTGCTTACCTAAATAAAAAGGAAACGATGTTAGCTATTTTCACCAGATCACCAACATTAATCTCAATCCCAGATGTTTGAATTCTCTAGAAATAAAATATTCAAACAACTACAAATAATAAATCATGCATTAATAAAAACCCCTTTGTGTATATACATACACATGCACACACACACAAAAATTGCTTGGGATATACAGCTAATATACTTGCTTATAAGTGCAAGTATTCATGCTTACCTGACACAGTTCAGCTGTATTTACACCTGGGATCTTATGGTTTAGATGTTGAATAATTTGTTCACACTGTAAAGAAATTAAGTTTGAAAACATCCTTAATGCATATTTTCATATATAAAACAAAGCTAGCTTAAATACTTGGGAGATTACAAAACAAAAAATAAAACTGCAAACTAATGCAAAAACATAAAACAGAAGGATGCTTTAAATGCAGGGTGAAGGCTAAAGTCATTGAAATGACTGGTTTTAAAATCACATCAAATCCAAGAAAAAGAAATAAACTCACTTAAGACTTTCAGTTACTACCTCACTATTCCTACTTAAGAAACGATTTTCTTAACTGAACAGTCACCATGTTCAAGTGCACACTACAGTGCATAAGCTGAATGTTTTCCAAAAAAGCTAGCTTGTTATCTCATTTAGATGAGAGGCAAAAATTAATTTTAAAATATCTTCTGTGATAAAAACAGAAATTTAAAGCAATCCCATTGCTCTTAGCAGGACTGGTCCATTTCACGAGTCATGTAAATCTAAGATACCACATACATAATATTCCCCCTGCAACAGACAAAATACAGAAGAGCTTAAAAAAAAAAAAAAAGGTTTCCTAGTATCAAAGAGTGCCAGAAGCCCTTCCACATCCCATTTATTGCCCTACTTACCAGTTCTGCAAAAAAGTCCTGAGGTATTAAATTAATCTTATCTGCTGCACCACCAACATCTGAAAAACACAAGCTGCTGTGATCATATGCAAATTTTTACAAGCGTTCTAGTAATAAATCTAATCACTTTCAGAAGAATTCCTAGGTAATCATGCATGCATTTACCTTAAAACCAGCTTTCTTTTAGTGAACTTGTCCTGATTTGCGTTAACATAACCTACTTAGCATCTCAAGTAAAGTCTAATAGGAGCGACTCCATAAGACTTCAGAGTCCCTGGGACTATGTCTATGCAACTGCACAGTTTGACAGTCCTGATTAACTCCTTCGACCCTGTGGAGCACTATCCGCACCGAGTCCCGGGAAGCCGGGCGTGCCGAACTGCCTGCTGGCACCAGCAGCACAGGACCGCTGCTCTCCTTAGACTACGCTACTACACCCTGGCCTCCTCCCGGCGGCCAAGGCGCCAAGCGGGCCGCGTCAGGCCGCGAAGACCCACCGAACCCTTCACCAGCACCCACCGGGAACAGATCGCCCGGGCCCTGGGTGAGGTGGCTCCGCGGGACGGGCCCCCGGCTAAGCCCTCAGGAGCAGAGAGCACCCGCAACCCCCGGCCGGCCACTCTCCCCTGCACACCCCACCCTGCGGGCCATGGGAGGGAGCCCAGCTCCTCCTCAGCTCCCCTACACCGGGGTTCCGTCCCTGTGCCCTCACCCAACGCCTCCAGCGCCCGCGCGAGCAGCACCGCTGAACCGGCGGCCATAGCTCCGGGCTCCCGCCCAGGCCCGACTTCCGCCACGCAGCACCCACCACCCCGATTGGCTGCGGGCGCCACCGGAGCGAGGCCGCGCCAGCGACCCCGTCCTGATTGGCTGCCGGGCAGGGAGCATGCGCTCTTCTCCCCAGGGGAGGGCGGAGTCTGCGCGCGTGTCGGCCCGCGTCTTCCGCTGGGGGGTCGGGTGGGTGTGAGGCCCGTAGGGGGCGAGACGCGGCGTTTTTTTGGTCCTTTGCGAAGTAAATCGCTTCTTAAATAGTTACAAGTAAAACCAGGTCTGCGTTTTAAGAGACTGCTGGGTCTGTAGCCATCGAGTGGTAAAGGTTACCTGTGGACGGTAGCTCAGGACCTTGTGGGCTAGGGCCTACCCATGCTTTGCCTCAGGCTGGTAGTACTCTTCTGGCTGCAGGCCCCTGTGCTAGTCCTTATGCTAGCACTGGCCTGGGAAATGGTGCTGGCATGAGAATTATCTGGTGAGGCTTTTGGAAATGTTGTGCAAACCAGGTGTGACTTGAAACCAACAAGTTGTTTACTGAGTTTAGTTTGTTGCTAACAGGTGTCAGGGTTTTCTTGGCACTCTTTGTTATAGTCTCAGGTACATAAATCATGCACTGTTCTGTGTGCATGCAGCACATACAGTATATTGTATGTAGTACAGATACATAGAGTGACCGTAGTTTGTACAGGGGGATTGTGGAGTCAGCCAGTACACCTGCAATTAAACTGTGCAGTTCATGGATGATTTATGTAGAGAAACTATGTCTTCAGTTTTATGGTAAAATCACCATTTTTTTGTAGAACTACAGCTAGAACCATGTTCAGTAAGATTGTCATACATAATTTAACTTAGTTTGGAGTGTGGCTGTAGACCTAAAACAACAACTGATCCTTCACCAGTTTCACCATTTAAAAATAGTAGATATTCTTAGATTTCGCTAGTAATCAGATTTACATTTACTTTTAGCTTTTTATATATTGTAATGTTATAATCTCAGATCTGTTGTAAGACTGACAGTAGTAAAACATAACTTGTCATGCACTAGTGCTGGCTAGTTTAAAATTACATGTTTTCAATAAATGTTAATGAAAGAATTTAGAATATATTTCAGGAAAAGTGTAATTACTATGGAATATGGTGTGTGTTTATGAGCTTTATACATTCATGGCTTGTCTGATCTTGGCCTCTCCCTTTTAAAGTATCTAATTAAGTGTGCAAATGTTTTTGAGTAGTATGTGTTTTTATGACCTCATGATTATCAAAACACATTGGTAAGATCTGTCTCCCATAGCAAGGACGTGACTTAACAATTTCTTTGTTCTTACCTTGGGTAACTCTATTACACTGCTATCTAGAAAGCTTTATATATTCTTTTATATTACAATTTCATCAGGTCTCTTAGTAGTGCCTTTAGCACTATGACTAATATTCATTATGTTACATTTCATTCTTCAAGATGTAGAGATAGATGTGAAGTTGAGTATCTTGGCAGTTTGGTAATTAAAGGCTCATTTGCTGAAATTTGGAGTTATTTTGGGGTTACTTTCATCAACATGTAAACATGCATTTAGTTCTTTGAACTTGGAACAGCAGGTGGTGAAGTATATAATGATTTCAGCTTGTCTGCCCATCCTCAGAATTAAACTTGTGTATCTTTAGAAAATTCTGCCTCCCCTAACTACAAAGCTTTTTTGGGGCAGAGGAAGGTAGATGGGGGACTGTGCTGGTGGACTGACAGTACGGGCCCATCTTTTAGCTGGGTGAGGACTGAGAACTTAGGAGGAGACACTTGGCTGAGAAACTAGAAGACAAATCTCATGAGCTACAAGAAGACTGGATCGCTGAATAGATATGCTACAGTGTTGTTGATTGTGCCTGAAGCTTCTGTATTGACCTGTCATGTACCAAACATCTTGCTAAGCGATTACAGTGGGTAGAATAGAATAAAACATCATTAGGTAATTTACTCCATTTCATAGACTTGACATTTACAGAATGGGGCATGATTTGCATCAACACTCTCTAAAGATGCACGCTCAACAACCTGCTTCGCGCTGCCCCGGGTCTTTCTGGCCTCATGCTGGGCAGGCCTGGAGGTCCAGCTCAGGGGCTTCTACAAAACCCTGGTCCCAGTGTCCCCATCTGAAAATGCAAGGCCTCATGAAAGTGCTGCAAGGGGCTGCATAGCTCAGCTGATGTCTGTAGAGAGTGGTGGGCAGAAGCAGTGGTGGAGGCCAAAAAATTGTTGCCCTCGCTTTTAGTTTTTCTGAATTAACTTGAAAAGAAGGTATGACACTACCTCTGGTATGTGTATCTATAAAATGTATACACAGTGTGTATGATACGTATACATTACACTGTGCTTGATGGTAGCCGAAAGGCCAAGAAATGGTATGTTTATGCTCCTGAGATGGGACAGCATGAGGGGATTTGCAGCTTTAGAAGAGAAATGCGATTTTTAATTGGGTTTAACACACCTCACAGTAATTTTCAGCAGATCAGACGCGGACCTCACCACCCCCGTCCTTGCTGCCACACGCACAGAGCTCTTCTCGGGCGATGTGGAGGCCGCTCACCCGCTGCTTTACAGTTCCATCTCAATCCCTTTGTCCCGTGGCACTCCGTGACCCGTCCCGTTCCCACGGGTGTACTGGGCCGGGGCCGGGGCCTCCCCAGCCGCTCCTGCGCACCCCGCCGTCGCCGAGGGTCGGGAGCAAGCGCGGGGCGGGGCGGCCGAGGCACCACCTGTCTGTCTGGGAGAGTCCATTGCCGGGGGGCAGCCAGGAGGGTGGGGAGGGAGAAACCTTCGGGCCATCGTTGCCCGGCAGCGCCCACGGGGAAGGCGTGCATCGCGTGATGTCGCCTCCGCCCGCCGCTCCGCAGGGGTGGAAAAGTGTGCGTGGGGGCTCTGAGGGTTCGTTGTTTTTCCGCCGCGCTCCCCCTCCCCTTTCTCGCGCGTCTCGGTGGTGCGGTCCCGGGTCAGGGCT